GTTTCTAACTATTCACAACACCAAGATAAATACAACCATAAGTGCACCGATATTCAATTTTGACTACCTGGTGAAATACTAGATTTGAGTAAACTACTACTGATGTCACAAATAATAATTATACTTTTAAATCATACATAAAATATTTCAAACATCACAAATATGAAGATTAAATTAATTATTATAAAGAGTAAAAATTGTATAATGAGGTTAATTATAACTCATTTATATGTTAATGCCTATAAATTGATCAACGCGTCCTATCCAAAACTGTCGAAATGAACATCACATTAAACTCGATATCATCTCATTATTGTCGGGTCCATTCATGCCCGATTAGCAAGAGTTTAACGTTTAGCAGTTAAACAGGCTAAAATTTTAGCGAACCAGTCACCTATAGTTTGTACAAAATATTATTGTTTCGTATAACTTTTAAAAATTTATATTAATTTACACAATTCTTCATCGCTTTTGCATATTCAATACTAGGGGTGGTAAACGGTATAGCGGTTAACGGTTTAACCGATAACCGTACCGGTAACCGTGGTTATCGGTTAAACCGTTAACAGTTCCAAACGGTATTCGGCAACAAGAATTTGGCTGGCGGTATACCGAGAAAGGTACGGTAAAACACAGTCGGCATTCCGGTATTCCGATAGCGAAAGGGAAAAGCCATCAAGCCATCAACCAAACGCTGACCGCCCTGTAATTAACCTAGTGTCCTAGTCCTAGTGGTAATTAGTAATTAGAAAACTGAAGTCCCTGCGTGCTGCCCCTGCCCTGCTGCACGAGCTCGACGAGTCACGCTCACGCCGCCGATCCTCCTCCGTTCATCCACCCAAACGCCGCCGATCGAAATTGGCGGTATCTTCGTTGTCTCCCCGTTGTCGGCACAAGCTCCATCTAACCCCGTCGAGCCCCTTCGCCATTGCCCTGTTCCTAGTCGAACCCCGTCGTCGTCCCGTCGGAGCTTAATCCTTCGACTTCACAGCACAGCAGACAACAATTCGTCTTCATCCTAAGTCTCACAGGTATAGCTGCCGAGGTGGATTCTTTCATAATCGTTTCATACTCTAATTCTTTCACAATCAATTAATCATAATTCATGTATAATTGCCGAATTCTTTGTGTTATTATTTGTTTATTTGATTATTTGTCTTTGTCGAACGTAGCCCGTAGCTGAGCAGAGTGCAAAGAAGCACAATGAATTCCATCTGCTGGAATGAATGAATGAACAAGAATAATGATGCCTTCCACTTATTTTTTATTTCCATCCGCAGATTCACTAGCAGACAAGAGGAACATGAATAATGATGGCCCTCCATTTGAATTGAGAGACTCGCGTCTGGCGCTAATTAAATTCCGCCCGCAGCAAGCCAGCAATTATCCCTTCCGGATGTCGGGAAACCGGACCCATTGCCGAAACCGTTGCACTCGGTAATCGGCATACCGATTAATATTGGTATCGGCTAACGGCAGCTATTTGGGGAATTCCGGTATACCGGAAACCGGTCAAACGGTAACCAGTTAAACCGGTTACCGACCGTTTAGCACCCCTATTCAATACTGCAGTTTTATATGCAATATTTTAATAGGCTAGCTAACTGTGAAAAGTCCTCTGCTTTGCAAATCTCCGTTTAGCGCATGTTTACAATTTATGAAGATAAAACAAATTTGTTTAGTGCAATCGGTTGTGATTATTATTTTTGTTTTAAGAGACCATGATTTAAATATTGATATTGATACTTTTTTCATATGAAATAGATAATAATTGTGATAACAAAACTACTCTTCCTACTTTCACTCTCGCTTCACGAAATTTGAAATAGAAAATCTTAAAACATTGAATATATCTCATAGAAAGAGCTTCTTCAACCAAGTAGGAAAGATATTTTACCTGAAATTATTATTTCTTATAGAAAGTGATTAATTGTGAAATCGGAACTCAAATAACATTGTTTTTTTTAGGGGTAACCTGGAAAGATGTATTAAATCATCTCAATAGTTACATCGTCCAGTCGAAGCTGGTCCAAGAGAAAGATTGGTGCTCTATCTAACCAAACTTCTCACATATCCCATCTAGACTCAGTATGGGCCATTATATGCGCCGCATTATTTGCTTCCCGCCGAACATGGCTGATAATGCTGCCTACACCACCTGGCTGTTTTAATTGCTGCAGCACACTTCAACAGATGACTCCCAGCTCAAAAATGGCTTCATCCTCCTTCTGCAACTGGCGCACAAGATTTAGAGAATAAACTTCAAGGGCAATCCGAGCACAGCCTAGCTGGTTAGCGAGCTGGACCCCGAATTCCGCCGCAAGCGCCTCCGCTAGATCCACACAATGGTTCCCTCGGATTTTTTTAACCGCCGCCGCAATGAACCCTCCATCGGGGTCCCTAATAACCGCTCCCAGGCCAAATCCTCCTTCTGCTTGTATCCCTGCGTCCGTGTTGACCTTTGTCCACCCTTCCGGTGGTCTTCTCCACCTCGATATCTCAGCTTGTAATTCTTTGGTCTCGTTCCTCAGCTGATGCTGCTGGTATTCTTCAAGTAACTGTCTGAATCGCAGCACAATTTCGTCTTCCCGCCACTTCATGCCGTTGAAAAGCTGTGCATTCCTTTCCTTCCACAGTGCCCATAAGAGCATTGCCCAGCCTTCGAAGACCTTCGTCTCCTTCTCACGCATGACCTTAGACACCCAATCCAAACTGTCTCCCACCCCTTGCATTTCAAAAATGTCTGTGAATGAGGATGTGCGCCAAATCTTGCTACTCCACGCACATTCACGAAACAGGTGCCATTGGGTTTCTTATTCTCCTTATTGTGTTCCTCCTCCTCGCAGAAGCTTTACGGTGAAAAAATTAGTATTTTTATCACCCCTTGGAGCCAATCAACCCGTGATCTCTGTTTCCAATAATGCTCTTCGTTATCCAGTACATCGGCCATTTCGTTCTACAAAATACGGCATTGATTGAGCACTTCTTCAGTTTTTGGCCTCCATTCCAAGGCGCGCAGAGCACGGGTAATACGCGCCTTATGTTTTCCAAACGGCGGGAAAGTGCGCGCACTCCATTGCTCTAGTTGAATGCGGCAGTCCATAAGCTTTAACGTTACATCGCGGTTCCCCGAGCCACCCCACGCTGTCTCTATGGTTTTCATACAATCCTCATACTTCGCCCAGAGCGACTCAAACCGAAAAGATCTCCCCCACTTAACTTCCCCATCCTCTGATCCCCGAAAGGTTAGATCGCTTTGTGGCAAATGAAAAATGGAGAATTATTTCCACATAGTGCTGTGCAGCATTGGGACCGGGCGAATTCAGACCATCGCCCGATTATATGTGAAATAACATTGATTTAAATTTTAAATAATAAATTATATGTGTGGCTCAGTTTAGACAAAATACATATGTGTAGCCAAAACATGGTTCTTTGTGACAAATATAGTAATTCTTGTCACAAATCTACACATAATATGAAGATAAATTGGGCACTATGACGAAAAAGAGCTTCCTAGAATCACTCTTAAGTCATGAAATTTGAAATGAGACTCTCATTTTCCAATTTTATCATTATATTATGTGTAGATTTGTCACAAAAAAATGATTATACTCGTCACAAAGGTCCATATTTTGGTTACACTTCTGTATTTTTTCTGAACTAAACAACACATACAATTTAAGATTAATGTTTGAATCAATACTACTTGAGTTCTGATTTGAGAACTAATATTTTTCTATAAAATATAAATAACTTAAGATAAAATATAAATATAGAAGCATCTTCACCAAACATATTGCTAGAGTTCAATTAAAAAAAATAATAATGAATAAAATGTAGTCTAGTTGGTTATAATGCTCTTTCTTCATTCAAGTGACAAATGTTTGAACTTCAATGATAACATTTTTAATATATAAACATGAGTTTAGTGCAATGACAAAAATGACTTTCATAGAATCACAATTTAGGGGTGTTCAAATGGTTACCATGGTTATAACCAAACCAAATAAAGCTAAATTCCATTAACCATGGAATACAATATCATAACCAAACCGTCCAAACTAATACAACAACCAAATTAACCAAACTAAAGTTTAATCGGTTTGGTTAATTGGTTAACCAGATTAACCAATATAAAATCACATTATCATTGACGATGAAAATTTTCCGGCTAATGCAACAATTCGCAATTTATATAATGAATAAAACATAACAACCAACACGTAGTTATAGTTGACCCTTAACAAAAATACATGCAACTAAGACAATTATCTTACGATTAGTATAGAAGTATTCAACTAACAAAAATTTATGACAATGGTATGGGTTAATGAATTGTTGTGTTTGTGTAAATTGACTTAGTCTCTTAGCAATTATCATAGGCTGAAAATGATCTTCCTTTCAAGTTTTCATCCATCATAATGTATGAAATTTATCTAAATTAGGCGTCCATATGTTGTGGTCTACATTTTACATATACAAATATACACTATATGAGCAATATTGAGCTTTATATTTTATGAGTCTAAAAGGGATGAACGTTAACTCTTGAGTGGTTAGGCAAAGTATTAAGTATGTGTATATAATATATGTTAGATATATGACTAATTACTTAACTGGTTAATTTGGTTTGACTGGTTAAGAGTGTCTGAAACCAAACCAAACCACCTAAACCAAACAAGTTAAAAACTTTAACCAAACCAAACCAAACCAATTATCCAAATTAACCAAACCAAATTATCCAAATAGTACCGATTAAAACGATTATCATGATAACCAAACCGTTTGAACACCCTAGAATCACTCGTCTCAGGCCACGAAATTGAGGATTCCAACTAATGTTTTGTTTTTATATATTGTGTAGACATAAGGTTGTTTTTTCATGATTACTATAGAAGGTTGATTTTAAAGTGAAGAAAACAGGAATAGTATTTTTTTTAATGTTGTTGACATGGGAGCTGAATTTTAAAGCTGATGTGGCATAAGTCCTTTTAATATTTTTTAAGATAAGATATGCAGTTGGCACCCCTGATTCTTGTCGAGTAAAGTTGCCAGCGGATTGCCGACATCGGTTGGAGAGGCGGAGTTGAGCTTCTGGAATTCAGTATATTACCGGTTTGCTCCTTCTGAAGAGAATTCCCGCTCAAATTCCAGTTATAGGCGCTGTTCTGGTACCACAGACGGCGCTGGTAAAGTTCATCGGAAAACATGGATCGCGAGAGGCAGGTGTTCACCGTCGATCTCCTGGAGAGGTACGCGACGAAAGGGCGCGGCGTGATCACTGCCATGGCGGCCGGTAACGATGTCATTGTGCTGGGAACAAGCAAGGGATGGGTTATTAGGCACGATTTCGGCGTCGGTGATTCTTCCGGTGAGTAATTGTTTGTCGAACCAAGTTTCTTCGGTCGAATTCGCCTCAAACTGATTTGAATAGACTCCTTCGAACGCTTAAAGTTGCCATTTCTTTAATTACAAGTTAATGTTAGCTGAATGTCTTCTGATTCCATTGCAAAATTTCCTTGGATTCTAGACATAGACCTTTGCGCGGGGCGACCAGGCGAGCAATCGATCCACAGAGTGTTTGTTGATCCAGGAGGAAGTCACTGCATTGCCACTGTCGTTGGTGCTGGTGGTGCTGAGACTTACTATACTCATGCCAAGTGGAGCAAGCCGCGTGTGCTGGGCAGACTGAAAGGTCTTGTTGTAAATGCAGTTGCCTGGAATAGGCAGCAGATTACAGAAGGTACAATTATGTGTGAACTGTATGCCGGTTGAGCATGAATTTTGTTTCACATTGAGTTGCACGGAGTCTTAAAACCCAAAGCTTTGTATTCTTCTGTGTGCTCTGTTCAAACTCAGCTTCTACCAAGGAAGTCGTTCTTGGCACCGACGACGGCCAACTTTATGAGATTGCTGTTGATGAGAAGGATAAGAGGGAGAAGTACATAAAGTTTTTATATGAATTGAAAGAACTACCACAAGCTTTTATGGGCTTGCAGGTACTGTCATTTGATGTCCCTTATTTGACAATCCTTCTACCAGCTGCTTCTTGTTGATTGCTACCTTTTAGTTTGTGTAATTGTGACTTAATTAGCAACCTAGAACCCGGAAGCGGGAATTTTTGTTTCCCTCCTATCCCTTCACTAACCTGAAATTCATCCTTATACACTACATTTGATATTCTTATATTTTTTTTTGCTTCTGTTTCTGACATGATTGAGGCCTGCTCAGCTAGCCAATACAATTAGTTTTCTTTTTTCTATTTTATTGCGCCAGCATGATTTTCCTTCTTTTGTTGATATGGTGAGAAATATCCTTGACCAGATATGTAACTAAGGTCCCCGTCTCTTGACTCTGGGTGCAGATGGAGACAGCTAGTTTAGAAAATGGAACCAGATATTATGTGATGGCTGTTACTCCTACGCGACGCTATTCCTTCACTGGAATTGGATTGCTGGAAGTAAGTCTAGTTTTTAATGCACTATTCTGCATCTATTGTATATGGCTGTAATGCTTCATTTGTGCATTTCAGACTGTTTTTGCTAGTTATTTGGATCGCGCTGTTCATTTTATGGAATTACCTGGAGAAGTACCAAACAGGCAAGTGTGCATTGTATTGTGTTATAGTTCTTTTAACTTGAACTTGGAACAGTGAGAATTATTTTTAAGTGGAATGCAAAGGTTGCTCAATTTTATTATTCTCTATGTCAGCAGAAGAATAACTTTTGAACAGAGTCCTATGGAGTTTACGATACCAGATTCTTGATTCCATTTACAATAAAATTTCAGCGAACTGCATTTCTTTATCAAGCAAAGAAGAACGACACATTTTGCATGGCTTTCAGGAGCAGGTATCTACTATGGAGGCCTAAATTTTGGAGCACAGCATAGGTAAACAGGGATGCTGTAGACTTTTTCCGTTTTTCCTGTATGTCAGCATATTTAGCTGTCCGGATATCTTCTGATCATTGAGATTTACTATCTCATGAAAATTATGAACTCCTGCTATTTTTCGAGTTTTGAGAGGAAGTCTATTGTTTCTTGATGCATGGATGTCAGTAGTCTAGATTTTAAGAGACCTATGATTACATTCTAACGTCTGGTTTTTGGAGTTAGCTCACCCTCGCGAATTGTCTCCTGTAAAATTATTTGCAGTTGTCCAAATGGTGATGAAAATTTTGTTGAGAACAAAGCGCTTCTGGATTACTCAAAACTAAGCAAAGGTTCTGAAGTTGTTAAGCCAACTTCTATGGCTGTTTCAGAATTCCATTTCTTACTTCTCATTGGAAACAAGGTTAAGGTGAGTTCAGTAAGTAGCACTATTAGATCGGCACTTCTGTTTAGGTGGCATTTGTAATCATATGTCTAGTCTTTGCTCTGTTATTCTTGGATTAACCTGTATACTCTATTGATTGGTTAGTGCTGGCCCTTTAGGTTTGAAACTTAGGTTCTAATATTGACGGTTCCAATATTCAGCTACTCTATTATGTACATGCTGATAAGATGACTTGATAACATAGTTGCTTGTTTTTACTGGTATTCTAAATTTGTTCGCTTCTTTCAGACTTATATTCTAAACACTTTGTAGGTCGTGAACAGAATTAGTGAGCATATAATAGAGGAACTCCATTTTGATCTGACATCAGAATCAGCTTCAAGGAGTGGTATTATTGGGTTATGCAGCGATGCCACTGCTGGCTTGTTCTATGCATATGATCAGAATTCTGTCTTCCAGGTCATTTTCCAGTGACTTGCAGATTTTTATTTTGTGTCTGTTTATCTTTGAAGAAAGTTACTTTTCACTTTTGGTATGGCTTTACTCTGTAGGTCTCCGTCAATGATGAGGACCGAGATATGTGGAAGGTGTATCTTGACATGAAAGAATATGCTGCAGCTTTAGCAAATTGTCGTGATCCATTTCAGAGGGATCAAGTATATTTGGTCCAGGTATCAAAACAACTGCGATTCAATTAACACTCTTAACTGCAGTTCTCAATTTCTAATACTGAAAATTTGGAATTATGCCATGTTATATGCAGAAGTTCTTGATCTTTTTGTTTGACTATTTTATAACTGAAATGGAGCGGTTTGCGGTCGGCTTGCAGGCAGATGCTGCGTTTTCGTCGAGGGATTTTGAAAGAGCGGCATCCTTCTATGCAAAAGTACATTCCACTTATGTTCGGTTCTTTCTGAACTCCTTTCAAATTTATTAACTCAGCTCTCTATTTAGTTTTTCATTCTTGAAATTCCCATTCAGTGAGCTCTGATAAAGTATTCATTGGAGACTATCCTTTTTCCCTGTCTTAGCCTAGCTTGCTTGTGTCTAAGAACAAGTGATGCTCACCAAAAAAGAAAAAAAGTGAAATAATTTTCTAGAGAACTAATTTGCCAAATATTGTTGTCTATAATCTGGATAAGCAGTGTAATACTGCTTCCATTATGATTTATCTGTTGTGTTTCATCAAATAAGAACTTTGCTGAATTGGTTTTAGCAATTAATCTGGTTAAGCAATCCATGACTTGTTTATGGTTCCTTATTTTGCAGATTAGCTATATACTATCATTTGAGGAAGTCGCCCTCAAGTTTATCAGTGCAGGAGAACAGGTATCTGGTCTAATGTTATATCATCTCAATGAGTACTTCGTAGTTTAGATTACTTCCAAATGTATCCTTAGGTTTTCTGTGGTTTGTTGCAACTGCTAGTACCGGTAGCTGGAAGGCATCTGTATCTCCAGATATGCAGTAGTAGTTTAGGATGAACAGTGAAATGCACTTAAAGTTTTGGCTACACTGGATAGTTATTTTGAAGAGTTTTCTTTGTTTTCTATTCACAATTCACTTTCTTTTTCCAGGATGCTTTGAGGACTTTCTTGCTGCATAGGCTAGATAATCTCACAAAAGATGATAAGTGCCAGATAACAATGATTTCGACATGGGCAACTGAATTGTACTTGGACAAGGTATTTTGATCTATCAATATTGTGACACTAGAACAATTAACGTCTATAACATGTCTGCTACTCGGCCACTGTTATTCCATTTATTTAGATGACTTAACATGATATATCAGAGTGGTTGCTCAAAATGAATATTGAATATCCAAGGAGGTTAGTTTCAGCTTGATTTCCTGTAGAATGAGTGCTTGTTTATTTAGTGTCTTGCATCGCTATGCATTTTTTACAGTTGAATCCTAGAGAACTAATAACTGGGCACACTTGGTCACTCTCATTCTCTCTAGAGACATTCCCAAAAATTTCGTAAGTCTGGAAGCCTAGAGAAACTTTTAGCAATATAATGTTGCATTTAGGAGCGAAGACACCAAATGACATTTCAAGCATGGGAATTCAAAATGAGATTGCTTTTATTCTATGCTGATGTTCAGATAAATAGGCTTCTTTTGGAAGAAGACAGTACAGTGGAAAATCATGGTGTTGAGTATCAGTCCATCATTCAAGAATTCTGTGCTTTCCTCAGTGATTCTAAAGATGTCCTTGACGAGGCAACAACAATGAAACTTCTGGAGAGGTAAATAATCTGCATTGTGTGATTTAGGCAAGGGAATGAATATAAGTAAGGGGGAGCTCCTGTTAGAAACCTAATTCTAGGGTTCTAACGTTCGGGTTGATGAGATTGGGAATTGATAGATATTTAGGGATTGGGATAGAATTGGGGAAGAACAGAATTGGGGATTAGGGATTTAGAGGAGGAAATTGGGGATCGAGGAGAAGGATGGCCGACGGCCTAGGAATAGGTGACGAATTTGAGAGAGATTAGGGTTTGAGATACGTTTCTGAATAATTGTTCTTGCTTGATTCTGACTAAAACGCAAAGTACATATTTATAACGAAAGATCGGAAAACCTAATATTAAACCTAATTCTACTAAAAGACTACTAACCATATTTAATAAAACCTAATAATAGTGATAATATAGAAATCCGTTTTCCTTAGAAAACGTGTTTCTAACAGCTCCCTGCTCTTTTAATCTTATACTGTCTGAAGAAAGTTACTGTAACTGTAAAAATTGATATGATGGTCTGTTTTCTTCTTGCTGGACATGTTCATGGTAGATATAATTGTTACTCCTTTTGTAAGTTTTAGTGACACAAGAATATCTTTCCGTATCCAGGATCTTAATGACAAATATTAAGTTGTACTCGCTACTTCTGTACGATTACTTATCGAACCTTGGTGTGTTAAGTACATCTGCTAAATATGATGACGATACATGTTAAGCAGTTACGGGCGGGTTGAAGAACTAGTATATTTTGCTGGTCTGAAGGAGCAGCATGAGATTGTTATTCATCACTATCTACAGGTGATTTCACAGTTTCATTTCTTTTAGAATGATATTTCAATTGCTTACTGCACTGTAAAAGTAAGTTTATGGCTCCAAGTTCTGATGTTTGTTTCACATTGCGTGTTCACCTTTTCAAATTATGCACTTACGAACACACACACAAAAAAAAAAAAAAAAAAAAACAGATGTCCTTTCGTAAATATAAAGTAATCACAAAAGGCTATCACAAATTCTTGTTCTATCAAATTTGCATCATAAGACCAAAACCCTACTCTACTTTCTTCACTGGAAATGTAACTTTGAGAATTAATTTCTAACCTATCATGAAAAATAAGTTAGAGAAGGATTAATCTGTTGAGTGTAGATAAAATTCTTAAGGACTTGTATATAATTTATTTTGGGTGGTTCTGTCATTTTCAGCAAGGAGAAACAAAAAAAGCTTTGGAACTACTTCAAAAGCCAGCTGTGCCTATAGATCTCCAGGTACAAGTACAAGTTGTATTCAGATGTCTTAGTCACCTAATCTAAGGCTGGGGTTGCTTTTCTTATCTATAACCTTTATTGTGATCCCAGTATTAATCTACATTTTCAGTACAAGTTTGCTCCAGATCTCATTGCTCTTGATGCATACGAAACTGTGGAGTCTTGGATGGGGACAAAGAACCTAAACCCGCGGAAATTGATTCCTGCAATGATGCGCTATTCAAGTGAAACCCATGCAAAGTAATGATCTTGAGATTAATGATGTGGTTCTCAACTCTGATTGATGCTAACCATGCCTTTCCCAAATTCAGGCTGTCAAGGCATCAACTTGATTTATTTAACATGGGATTTGACTGGATGAACCGTTACACTATGGAAAGGTGGTGTCAATATAAACGAAATATGATCGTGAAAGCAATGCTGATTCACGTAGCTGTAAGCGTGCACACTGTATTTCAAATTGAAAACCTTTGCCAAGTTTTAGGATAGTTTGCCTACTAATATGGCATCTTCATATTTGGATGTTTTCCTGTTGTGTATAACTGATATGCCAAGAAGTCAATAGGCAAATAATTAGTTTCAAGAAAAGTTTTGGCATGCATCCTTTGGGGTTAGTTTGGTCCTGTAAATCCTATTCGAACACATTGGTGTCTAAATGTTTCTTCCACGTTTATGTTTTCTAACGGAAGATTTGCCGAATGCAGGAATGAAACTCACGAGGTCATCAAGTACCTAGAGTTCTGTGTTCATCGTTTGTATAATGAGGATCCTGGAATTCACAATTTGCTTTTATCTCTCTATGCTAAGCAGGTTCATCTGATCATTTGATTTTCTGATGTTGATATCTTGCTTGCCTTCTTCTGTTCATAATTTTGTTTATGTCCATGTTCTTAATTATGTATATTTATAATGCATTTATGTAAGGGCTTCAACTGTGTAATTTACCTGGGAATCTGAATCTTGATGGATATCTCTAGACTAGGTCCATTTGGCTACATTGCTGAAGAACAATGTAACTACTTTTGTCAGTTGAGGGAGCATAAGTTTGCCTGACAATTCCTCATACATATAACCAAGGTGTCCCTGTGAGGCTATGTGATCTGGCTTAGGAACATCATAAGTGTATTTTGGATATCTTACTGCCGTTGTAGCTCCTCCTCTTTATTTGGATCTTGTAGCTGTTTAATGTTTCTCTTATTTTGGGTCTTGTGGTGCTTTAGTAGCTCCATGGCAGTAGCATTCTCATAGTTCTTATGCAACTCTTGTCTTGTATCCCCACCTGTGTGTCTCCTACAGTTTCCCTTTGTTTTACTGTTTACCCATAGATCATATAAAGCTGCTTAAATGATATTTTTTGCTTTTCTTCTCTTTTACCTTTTCCAATCTAGGAAGATGATAGTGCACTTCTAAGGTTCCTACAATGCAAGTTTGGGAACGGACGAGATAACGTACCTGATTTCTTCTATGATCCGAAGTATGCCCTCCGCCTTTGCCTCAAAGAGAAGCGAATGCGAGCTTGCGTTCATATATACAGCATGATGTCCATGCATGAAGAAGCAGTTGCTCTTGCTCTGCAGGTAACGCTTTAAAGCTTCTGTTTCTAATAATGTTGTGCATGAAACCTTTATTTGTTTTGGCATAAACCGGAGTACTGGTGGGTCATAGTGGCTTACAACTGTTGTGAGTTTGTAGATACCATAGCTGCAATTATAAGTGATGACATAAAACAAAAGAAACGGTTCAAGCTTACAGATCTCTATCATCACTCATCAGTCCTTTTGACATGTCTTTGTTTTTTGTACATCACACAGTAGTAGCTTTATGTGTATCCCAAAAACTTTGATAGATCATCCATTTTTGTGGATTCAGTAGGATAATTAGGCATTAAGGTCTCTTTGGTTCGTTTTAATGCTGGTTTCGGGACTGCTCTTTCTGTACTCATTAGGTCGACCCTGAGCTTGCAATGGCTGAAGCTGATAAAGTGGAAGATGATGAAGACTTGAGGAAGAAGTTATGGATGATGGTCGCCAAGCATGTTATTGGACAGGAAAAGGGAACTAAGAGGGAGAACATAAGAAAGGCCATAGCATTTCTTAAAGAAACTGATGGGCTGTTGAAGATTGAGGATATACTTCCCTTCTTTCCAGACTTTGCCCTGATTGATGACTTTAAGGTAAGATTATGTAGTTCCTTTTATTTTTGTTGGTAGTGTATGTGAGTTTGGCTAAACAAACACTTGCTCTTCAGAGGCAGTTACTCGGATGTATATGCCATGAGTCAATTTCTTAATTTAGTGGTGTACTGTTTCTTCTTCACCTTCTCTACTTGTCTTGACAGTTCAACTTCATGCTATAGATTTCTGACTGGGTTCCATTGAAAGTTATTTCCTGTTTAGAGACGACTGTGTTGATTAGAGGCCCTAAGAACAAACATGATGATTCTATTGAGGGAGTCAGATGTGCATAATATAAATAAGCTTTCTAATTGGGATTCTTATAATTCACCCAATTTAGCAATTCTCACAGTTGCATGTAGGGAATTGTAAGGTTATATTTCCCTAGTTCGAGCAAGTTTGAAAGTTAATCTAGCTACCAAGTCAATTTCAGTTTCAGTTGTCCGTTTGCTTGCGAAGGTTATGAGTATCAGGATTGAGTTGTTTCTGTGCCCAATGTAGGAAGCAATATGCTCATCATTGGAGGATTACAACAAGCAAATTGAAGAGCTGAAACAGGAGATGAATGATGCGACGCATGGTGCAGACAATATAAGGAAAGATATCAATGCTCTTGCTCAGAGATATGCTGTCATTGATAAAGATGAGGACTGTGGGGTATGGTTCATCTTCTGTGTTATTTCTCTCTAAACATGCCGCGTCCTTGTTGTATATGATTTGTGCGCGAGTCTGTTTAGATAGTCTCTCTAAATGCACAATTTGTCTCTCCACCTGGCAACTGTTTAGAAGTCTTCCTGGTGGCCAGTTGAGCAAGGGTGTGATTGTTTTGGCTAAAAAATTAGTAACTAAAAGAAAAGTTTACTACAAAGCTAAAAAATTCAATTTCAATCCAACTTTATAAAATAACTATTTGCCTTAAACCCCACAAATGATTTAAATCTAAAGGTCACAACACTAATAATTTTTTTTGCCTTATTGAAATAAAAATATACTTTCTCATTAATCTTTAGTACTAAACAAGCTATCTGCCATTCCATCATTTACTTTTTCATGACTATAAACTATCTCCTATCCCCTCACCTCAATTTAGTATAGAACCCAACCAAACAATACTTGCTCCACTTTCACTTAAACTTTAAAACGAAGTCATTTTTTAGCAAAAGATAGAACAAACACATCCATTTTTAGAATCTTCAACAGGAAGCATACTTGTTTAGGTGCTTTTTATGATATCACTCAATCTTCAACTTGTTTCATTTGAGACAAAAGCTGTAACCCAGTCATTTCATCACATTCAATTTTTTACCAGGTTTGCAGAAGGAAGATATTGAATGTGGGTGGGGATTATCGCATCTCTAGAGGATACACATCTGTGGGACCAATTGCTCCCTTCTACGTATTCCCCTGCGGGCATGCCTTCCATTCAGAATGCTTGATTGCTCATGTAACACGATGTACCACTGAATCACAGGTGAGTTGCCGTAGTATTTTGTGCCTAATCTTTTCTTCAACAAAGATTCCAAAAGTTGATTTCCTTGCGAGATGGGTCAGTATCCGCAGTCAGTCAGCTACATTTATTCGGCTAATGTTTTTAATGAACAAACGATGCAGGCTGAGTGTATTCTGGACCTGCAGAAGCAACTTACTTTGTTTGGCGATGGAACTAGAAAAGACCTAAACGGCAGCATGGCTGAAGATTCGGTTTCAAGCACAACTAATGCAGATAAGGTTTGCCTTCTTTAGTCGATAATCACTGCTAACAAAAATTCTCTTTTAAATGTAGCATTTTGCCTGTGCTCTAGCAGTTCAAGTTCTCTAGCGTAGGGGGTATTTGTTTTAACTTTGCGGCCATTGGAATCTGCAGCTGCGGTCTCAATTGGATGATGCAGTAGCCGGGGAGTGCCCCTATTGTGGGGAGTTGATGATCAGAGAAATCTCTTTGCCTTTCATCCTTGCCGAGGAATCACAGGAGGTGGATTCGTGGACAATAAAGCCAACCAACAATCTTCTGACCCTTAGGAGCATATCTCTGCCCTCTTGACTTCCCCTTCTGCTCAACATCTTGTACTTGTTTGTGTGTGCATATAATCGTATAACTGGTCTGCAGCTTCACCATGTTTTGTTCTTCTTCACAACATCATTTGGGTATTGGTCCAGCAAGTCACTACCTTCCTATTCTGGTTAGCGTTGTGCACCACCCTCCCTGGGCTATATGTATATATGTTTTTGTAACATTTGAGTGTTGTAGTTGGTATGTCTGAATCTGATTCCTCTGGGCTATGTATATGTGCTTTTGTAACATTGAGTTTTGTAGTCGGTAGTTGGTATATCTGATTCCTCTGGAGTCGCAAGAGTTGAGTCTGGTATTGCGTCCAAGGGTGAAGCAAAATCTAAGTTACACTTTACAAATGAAGTTCCGACTCAATTTCTACAGCGGACATCTCTGGCCAATCAACAAATAATTTTCAAGTCCAAGACTCCTTTGGATAAGGCTGGGCAACAGGAGGAGAATGGGTACCCGTCCTATTTAAAACGCCTACCCATTCACATTTAAAATGTCCCATTATTCATACGAGACAGATAATGGGTACCCAATCTACCTATAAATACCCAAAAATTGATTATTTAAATTTTAACAAAGTTAAAACCCAGCACCTTGCACTTGTTGAAATTGTAGTAGGCGTAGACCCTCTGGCAAGAAGAGATGTTCTGGATCCAGAAGTTCAGATCAAGTTGGGTGGTGTTTGGAGACATAAACACCCGCTACTTTCATACAAGTACTCTTAGCAGGAGGAAGAGGAACACGATAACCTGCCTTCGTGATGACCAGGAGCAATGGATCCATGATCCTCACACCCTCCTATTCATGACTAGGGAGTATTTCCTTCATCTCTTTACTAGAAATGGCTTGATCACTAGAAGTGCTAATCCTGTTGATTTACCTGTTCTTGCTAGTTCTGTTATGGCTAGAACGGCTTCTCTGCCTAATTATGAAGACATTAGAAAGGTCATTATGGACATGAATGGTCTTAAAGATCTAGAAAAGGATGGCTTTCAAGCCATCTTTTACCAGAAATGTTGGGATGTTGTTGGAAGAGACTTTTGTGCTTTTATATCTGCTTGTATTAGGAACGCTAGTTGAATCCAATGCATGAATGAGACTATGATTACTCTGATCCCCAAAGTGGAAAATCCCTCCCCAATGAGTCAATTTAGAACCATCAGCCTTTGCAATGTTGGTTATAAAGTGGTGGATAAGCTTGTTGCCAATAAGCTGAAACCCCTGATGCCTTAGTTGGTTAAGAAGAACCAATCAAGATTTATCCCAAATCGTCATATTACCAATAATATCATTATTCTGCATGAAACTATTCATTCAATGGCAAGGAAGAGGGGAAAGAAGGGCTATATGGTTTTGAAAGTGGACATAGCTAAGCCCTATGACAGAATTGAATGTGACTTTCTTGAAGAAGCCCTCAAGGTTGCCAGGATTCTAGCTAGTACTATCAACATCATTATGAAGTGTGTGACTTCTACAAGCTATCAAGTCCTATGGAATGGAGGAAAAACTGAAAGTTTCAAACCTACCAGAGACCTTAGACAGGGATGTCCCTTCTCTCCCTACCTTTTTACTCTCTATGTTTAAAGATTAAGTCACAGTATTTCTTATGAAGTTGAGAATGGTAACGGGAACCCTATTAGGCTCTCACCAGGGGGACCAACACTCTCCCACTTGTTCTTTATAGATGACCTTCTGTTATTTGTGGAAGCCAATCCTATGCAAGCTGACCTTGTCCTGAAATGTCTGAATCTGTGAAGCTTCAGGAGAGGTTGTTCGTAAGTATAAGTCTAGTGTGTTTTTCTCTAGAAATGTTAAGAACCATAACATAATTGAAATATGTAAAAGACTTGGGATCCAGGCCACTAGTGACTTGGGAAGATACCTTGGTGTTCCTGTTATCCATGGTCATATCACTAAGGCTACTTATAAGTACATCATTGATAGGATCGACCAAAAGCTTACTAATTGAAAAGCTAGAACCCTCTCTCTTGCTGGCAGAGTTACTCTAGCCACCTCTGTTCTCAATGCCCTTTCTATGCAATGCAAACCACTTCCCTTCCTGCCTCCATTTGTGACACCATTGATAGGAAAGTGAGGAGCTTTGTTTGGGGATCCTGTGATGGGAAGAGGAAGACCCACCTTGTTTCTTGGGAGAACATATGTAAACCTAAGGAACAAGGTGGCCTTGGGCTTAAGTCAGCTATACAAATGAACTTAGCAGATATTATAAAGCTTGGTTGAAATATGCTTAATAAGGAGTCTGACTTGTGGGTTCAAATTTTACATGGGAAATATTTCAAACAAAGGAATGGCAGAATCTGTCAATGAAAAAGGGCAACCACTCTAATCTATGGAAGACTATTGTGAAGGGAATGAACATTATGAAGCAAGCCACCTGCTGGAGCATCAGAGATGGCAAAGCTACAAAGTTCTGGACTCAACCGTGGATTGAGAGTGACATTATCTTGGAGAACTTTGCTCTCGATGATGTCCCAAACGAGGAAAAAGAGTCAGTGGTTGCTGAATGGGTCATAGAGGAAGGTGAGTGGGACTGGAGGAAATTAAAAGCAATGTTGTCTGATGACATCATGTCTTTGATTGCAGGCTTGGAGGGCCCCGACCCTGCCCTTGGAGAAGATACAAACATTTGGGGCATAAAAAAGATGGACAGTTCAGTCTAAAGTCAACTTACAAGCTTGCAGCTGAAGAGGATGAGAAGAATCCAGACAGACGCTGGAAGTATATTTGGAGATGGAAGGGGCCTAGCAGAAGCAAGCATTTTGTGTGGCTTGTGATGCATGACAGGTTGATGACCAACAAGGAGAGGAAAATAAGGAAATTTACAACCAACTACCACTACAACGTCTGCAAGTACAAAGATGAGATCAATGAAAACATACTGAGAAGTTGCAGCAAAGCAAAAGTTGCGTGGGAAATGTTTCAGAACAAAGTTGCTGCCAACAACATGAACCTGTCAATGCAGGAGTGGCTGCACATCAATCTGAAACAGGAGGATACTGCTATTGACTTTGTGAATTATTGTCTGGCATTTAGGGAAATAAAGAAATGAAGAGGTCTTGGAGGGGCGTGCTTTCTCAAAGAATGGATTAGTTGCAAGAATCAAGGTCTGGTTCCATATCATTGAACAAGCACACCAAAATGTCCAGAAGACTACTAACGCCAAGGCCGCTGCTGGAAGTAACATGAAAATTTGCTGGGAGTCTCCTAGAGAAGGATGGATACAATTGCAAACTAATGATTCTACGATCACCATGACAGGGAAAGCGACTGCATGACGCTTATTCAGAGAGTACCCGGTGATATGAGAGGGAGCCTTCGTCTGCAACCTCAGATCCTACTCCATCACAGCTGCTGAACTGAAAGGAGCTTTGGAAGGCCTCAAATTCGTCTGGAAGAGAGGCTATAGGATTCAACCTAGTCCGAACCCGCAACCCGATTCAACCTAGTCCGAACCCGCATGATTGACACCTATAGTTATATCCCCATCTCCAAAGGTAGGGCTTGGCAACAGGTATTTGTGTATATCATATCCGTCCCGTTTTCTTAGGGTTATGGATAATCATAAATCATAATACCCATAATATTTGTACGGGATGGGACTTGAGATTGTACATTCTTACACAAAGTACCTGCAGGTTACCCGCAAATCCCATTCGGGTAGTATGGATACCCATATAATATCCAATAGCCTAGATAATAATTCTAAAGTTATGAAACATTTATCATTCTAACATTCTCTGTTTCTTACTAGCAGTAGTTGGTCATTACATTTTTTGAGTGTGAATCTTTAATTCCTTATACAAAGCCCTGATGTGAGTAGTTGCCCAAGGCCGGCGCTAAGTTAAGGCCCATAGGCCTTTTTTAAATTTAAGTAGTATCTAAATTTGTTTGTGTTTCAATGTTTTTCTGATTACTTTAAGTGACTTGTTATTTTATACGGGTGGAGTTTCGGTTACCGGTTAATCGACCGGTTAAACTGATAACCGATCGGTTAAACCGATAACCGGTCGGTTAAACTGATAATCGGTCGGTTATCCACTAACTAAATATTGAGATAACCAAAATTCGGTCGGCGTTTGGAGGCTGGCCGAGATGGTTTTCGTCTTGGAGGTGGTTCGGTTACCCGAAAACCGAGATAACCGAAGTCTAAATTCCTATTTTGGTCAGTTGCCGGTAAGGGGGTCGGCAGTTCGGTTAACCGATAACCGACCGATCATTATCGGTTATAACCAAAACTAACCGACGGCAAGCCCTATTATTTTAGTAGTTACAATTTTATTTTGTTGAAAGACAGACGTAGAGCGTCTAATTCTACATTAGAAGTAAAACGATCATGGAAAACTCCTATTACATCATGGCGTAGCCATTTGACGAGATCCATGTCACAGACATTGAAGAGATGTGTGCCAAAATCAAAGTCATGTGCCTTGTTAGCCAAGTAATCGGCGGCAAAATTAACTTTCATATAAACATGAGAGAGTCTAACATCCCACTCAAGATTCAAAAGGTAATAAAACTGTTTCGCCAAGCTTTCATGCCGATGATCATCCTTGTCGCATTGCTTGATGATTTCAAGGGTCGTCATAGAATCAAGGTTGAGTTGCAGTTTCCTATAGCCTCTCTTCCAGGCGAATTTGAGGCCTTTCAAAGCTCCCTTCAGTTCAACAGCTGTGATGGAGCAGGATCTGAGGTTGCAGACGAAGGCTCCCTCTAATATCCACAGGTAGTCTCTGAATAAGCGTCCTGCAGTGGCTTTCCCTATCGTGGTAATCATAGAACCATTAATTTGCAAATGTATCCATCCTTCTCTAGGAGACTCCCAACAAATTTTCATGTTACTTCCAGCAACGGCCTTGGCGTTAGTAGTCTTCTGGACATGTTGGTGTGCTTGTTCAATGATATGGAACCAAACCTTGATTCTTGCAACTAATCCATTCTTTGAGAAAGCACGCCCCTCCAAGACCTCTTCATTTCTTTTTTCCCCTAAATGCCAGACAATAATTCCAAAGTCAATAGCAGTATCCTCCTGTTTCAGATTGATGTGCAGCCACTCCTGCATTGGCAGGTTCATGCTGTTGGCAGCAACTTTGTTCTGAAACATTTCCCACACACCTTTTTGCTTTGCTGCAGCTTCCTTCTTTCACGAAGCAGTTAGAGTTCATAACTCAAAAAACGCTATAAAAAAGTTGTTAACTTATTTGGGTGTATAGTTAGTAGAAGCAAAGATGATAGTAACAAAAGTGGTGGAATGCTACAAGCAATGTTTTGGAGAGGTGAATCTTTTAGTGAAGCCTAGTCAAGCTTGACAGGAAACTCTGGTAACTAGAACTCTCTCTAC